GAATGGGTAGACTCGCCCCGCGAATTCTGGCTTTTTGTTTACAACAGCAAAACTTACATTCTTTTTGTTTTTTTTTCATATAAAATTAATGTAATCTTAGTCTTAGATAAGTTTATCACTTAACCAAAGTGAAAATAGTAATAATAATAATATACTTACGGAGCACCAACTAAAAGTTTGCTGATTTTCAATACAAATCTCTCAAAAGACGTTTGAACAAGTCGGTTAAAAAGACACCAAATAAATAAGAACGGATCAAACTACTACAGCGCCATCTTCCTTAGAGTCTGAACTAAGTCCTCCGTCGGTAAAAATTTTTTTATTTGAAATTTAAAATAGCGAAAATTAAATAAAACTAAAATGGGTAGATTCGCTCCGGTTTACGGTATTTTTTTTCGTGAAATTTTCATGCTGTATGTTGAGGACTAGCCACAAAAATCATTTCTAGTTTAGTGTCTTACTCCGTTCCTCCCTTGCACCACTCCCCCTTTCGCATTTTTTTAACAGCCACAAATTAAATATTTAATTAGCTTTTGTTGACAATGCAAGAGTTTTGTCTCAGTAAATAGATGTATTTCATCGAAAAAATTGGGCTTTCGACGTGCTGTCTGAGCGACGAATTGTACTTATGACGAATTGTGTTAGCGAGGGATTGCGCTTGCGACGAATTGTGCTTACAACGAATTGTGCGCGATAAATTGTCCCAAAACTGATTTTGCGCATCGAATTGACTATCGATGTGAAAAGTATTTTTGTGAGAAAAAAAATAGGATACCCCCAGTGTTATATGTTTTCAGCGTTAGCTACCAATTTAGATAGAAAGAATTGGTTTTATATGATGAAGATACCCGTAAGATTTTTTAATTCTTATAGAAGGTTGCCACAGTCTGGAAAAACTTAAAAAGTGGTGAATTAGATTTTATAAGATTATCGTAAATTTCACAGTCATTCACATCATTTTTAGGAATTCAGTTGGTCAGTTGTAATACAAATAATTAATTTTCAAATATTTTTGATCCATGGTGATTAGTTAAAACAATTTGATTACTCGATATTTCACTGCCAGTTTTGAAAAGTGGCAATCTTGTTATAACAAATATTACAGAGCTGTTACACAATCGAAAGTAAATAGTGGTAAATTGTACATAATACGGTAAGATTTCAATTTGTTTCTATTGAAAAATATCAATAGATGCAACTACTTTTTCCTCGTTTCTGTCGTACTTGTAGCCTTACAACATTTTACAAATATAATTATTAACTTCCC